CTTGACTGAGTACTCCATGATTTCTGCAGGACTCATCTGGAAGGTATTGTTGCCAGGGTTAGGAAGGATCCCTCAGGGTTAGGAAGGATCCCTGAGGGTGCAGTAGGAGACACACAAGGGTTTGAGGAAGATGTAGAAGCCCCTGGTCCTAACCATGTTGTCTCTGTCTGCCTGCTTGGCCTTAAGCAGGTGATAGCAATCGTATATGGATTTTAAATAGGACACAGGCACACGCTGGAGAACTTCTGGCCCTTAAATCCTGTTTCAGTCTCTCTGGTCTTTACTTTGGGAAAAGTAGACAGTTGAGTTTTGGACCCAACATCCTGAGTCCAGATCCTAGAGTGTGACCTGCCAGGTTCTCATATATCAGCAGGCATCAGAATCACCCAGAGGCCTGTAAAAACAGATCACCTGGCTCCATCCCTGGAGTTTCTGATTTAGCGGTTCTGGGGGTCCTGCTTTTCTAACCTGTTGCCAGGTGATGTGATGCTGCTGGTCTGTGAGAACCACCGATCTGGGCTACGAGGTATCAAGCGGTAATATTAGGCCAGCACACGTACACGTACGCAGTGCCATACCATTCACAAATTAAGTTTCAGATGCACCATCTGATGTGCTCCTCTGAGCCCACCTTTGAAAAATGGACATTTTCAACCCTGATTTGCGGAGGAGTCTGAGGTTTGTAGTGTTGCACAGAGCAAGTGTCTGGCTGCAATACCATGCAGTCAGCTGACCAGCCCTGAGTGTCCCAGAGGGGTAAACATCCCAGAGGTCACCCCTATAGCCCTGAAGTTGCAGGCATCTCCCTAGCGGGTCTCCTTGCCTCGCTTCTTGAAGTGCAGGTTTTCTGGTTCAGGAACAGGGTTTAACTTTCTGTCTTGTGACTTGTTACCTGTGTTATATATTTACTTATTAGTAGAGATGGGATCTATTTATGCATCGGTAGAGATAGGGTCTCGCTATGTTGCCCAGTCTGGCCTAGAACTCCTGGCCTCAAGTGATCCTCCCATCTCAGCCTCCCAAATTGCTGAGATTACAGGCCTGATTCACTGTGCCCCCCCACCAGCTACCTGTGTGATCGCGAACAAGCTACTTACCCTAAGCCAGTTTATTCTTATAAAATGGGATTCCTGTCTCTACTTTAGAGAAGTGTAAAGACTCAATGAGGAGAATGTAGAGAATGAGCTCAGGACTTTCAAACTAACGTAACAGCGGTTGGACAGTAAGACTTTATAAGGCCACCAGGCTAACTTTTCTAAAACTGATCACAGCACTTTGTTTACAAAGTCGTTTTTTCATTTCTCTTCTCATTTGATAGTTGCAAGAATTCAACTTAAAATTCTGCTTACGCGCCCCCCACCCCCGCAACACTTTTGCCTATGGGATTAAGTCCAAGATTCTTAGCAAGGCATTGCCAGCTGAGACCTAGCCCCTGCCTCGGTCTCTAATTCGCTCCAGTTGAATGTTCTCGGCATTGCGTGTCCTCAACATGGTGGCTGGGCACTAAATAGGCCCTGATGTTCATTCCAAGAGTGGATGAACCCGCGCTGGAACCCTTTCCTCCTTTATCCATTCATGCCTTGCCTTGCCTTTCCCTTCTTATCCACTGAATTCCTACTCTTTTTAAAATTTTAACCAGGAAGCAGCATTTATTTGTGCCGGCACCGGCTTGGCGGATTTGCCTTCCAAGGCTGAGCCGATTCCTACTTTTTTAAGGATGGCCCAAGGGTATATCCTCTGCAATGGCTCCTAAGTTTGACACTCCCGTTAAACATGTATTGGCGACTTCTATGTGCCAGGAACTGCACAAGGTGCTGGGGCTACCGCGGGGAGCGTGGTGGGACCTGTCTAGATCAGATGGCCCACCACCACAGCCGGAGCCTTAGTGTATGGATGCACTTATCGCTAGGGCTGTATTTGCAGGGCCAGGGTAACCGTCAGTGCCCCTGGGCTACAATAAACTCCATGAGCAGAGAGCATGGCTTACGCACTTCTGGCTCGGCTACTGCCATTCACATCTGTGAAATCAAGTCCAACGAGCTATGTATGACTTTTCCTTGTTATGAATTTAACTTATCTGATAGCCATTTGTGACCTGCTCAGTGTTTACGTTCTTTAAGCAGATGTATCAAAAATGAGAATGTGCCTATTGAAAAGAATCCCAGTTTCAAAAACTACCCACTTTGTAGATTATTCACCCGGCAAGAGTTTATTCATTCTGTAGTTCTTGATCCAACTCCTTTAAAAGATGCCAAATGTACCCTCAAGACACCTCCTTTCGGCATGGGTCCCTCACAGGCCCAAAATAAAGTTGCATGTACAAGCAAAATACATTGTACTGATACTTACCCTTCTTTTTCATTACTTTAATATCAGACAACCTCAAGTACAGTTTTACTACAATATGTATGTATAACTGTGCCTTTTGCCAACTTGCTGATATGATTTTTTTTTTGAGTCTCATTCTGTCGCCCAGGCTGGAGTGCAGTGGCACGCTCATGGCTGCCACAGCCTTGACCTGCTTGGGTTCAGGCCATCCTTCCACCTCAGTCTTCCAAGTAGCTGGACCTACAGGTGCACGCTACCATGCTCGGTTAATTTTTTGATTTACTGTAGAAACGAGGTCTTGCCAAGTTGCCCAGGCTGGTCTCAAACCCGTGAACTCAGGCAAACCTCTCACCTCGGCCTCTCAGAGTGCTGGGATGACAGGCTCGAGTCACTGTGCCCGGCCTGCCGAAACGTTTACTCTCACTGAACATTTAGAACAGCAATGTCTTGTTTGCTCAGCCCTCCTGAGCATGAGCAGGCTGTTTACTCCCTGTAAACAAAGTTTTCAGATTACTCACATTTTCTCAGAATGTCAATTTCTTCCTAACAACTAACATCCCAGCTCAACTGTATACATTCCTCTTTAATTGCATTAAACAATTTAAACTACCACAGAAGTCTCAGATACTTAACGAATGTCATGCATCACACTGAATGATAACTCAAGAGTTATCTTCCATGATCACTTGCATGGCAGCATTGATCTGACTTATTGCTCTTTTGATTTATAAACTTCTTTTGCTTCCACTTCTTGCTGCTAAGCTATACTTATAATTCATTCTATCACTGTACACACTTTCGTGGAAGAAGAGGGACAGAAAACATTTGTTTGGTAGAGTATATGGGAAAACAGGACTTTGCCACTTATAAGCATGTTTAATGTTCAGTTAAAGGCAGCCAAGGGTGTTGGAAGTCTAGCCTCTGAAAAAGTGGGGCAAAGCAATCTTTACCTTTTCCCTACAAGTAAATATGTGAGTATCCAAAGAGTGCTTTCAGGAGCTTTTTTTTTTTGAGATCTCACTCTGTCACCTAGGCTGGAGTGCAGTCAGGGTTCATCACAGCCACGACCTCCTCCACTCAGGTGATCCTTCTGCCTCAACCTCCTAAGTAGCTGGGACTAAAAGGTGGGCACCATTATGCATGGCTAATTTTTTGATTTTGTATAAGGATGAGGTCTTGCTATGTTGCCCAGGCTCGTCTTGAACTCCCAGGCTCAGGCAATCCTCCTGCCTCGGTCTTCCAAAGAGTGCTGGTATTACAGGCATGAGCCACTGCTCCCAGCAGAAGCATTATGTTTCAGAGTTTGGTCTAACACCTCACTCCTTTTAAATAAACATCTCTAGTCTCTTTCAGTAGCATAGTAATGAGTTTAAACTGCATGAACACACACCCTCTAGATTCAGTGGCTTAGAAAGAAAGGCACTGCATAAGTTTATTTCTCTCTTAGGTATAGTCACGATGAGTATTCCAAGTTAACTGGCAACTCTGCTCCACAGAGGCATTCAGGAACCCAGGCTCTTTCTCTTGGATGGTTCTGCCACCCTCTGGGCATTGTGTTTTTATCAGAGTGATTGGGACAAGGTTATCACTTTCTCTGTTGTGGGAAGGAGATAGAGAAGGTGGAGGGGATTCATCCACTGTCTTAACTCCTGACCCAATAATGGCATACACCTTTTGAACTTACATTGCTTGAGAATGAGGGGTTGGAAAATGCAGTCCCCAACAGGTGGAACAGAACTCTATGCTGTGGAACAGCACACATTCTGATGGACAACTAGCAGTCTTTAGAGAAAAATAATTTCTTGCTTCTTTCTAATTTTATGGAAGCACTGTAAAACTATATAATGATCTTATTTTAAGCAAATTCAATAGGAAAAAATAAGATCTACATAAAAATGTTAAAGAACTACAGTTTAGGACTGAAATAGGCCTGAGAGCTCATTTGTTCATTGGACACCTTGTGACCAACAGATGTTATTTCATTGGCTTGTTACTACCAGTCTTCCACAGAAGAGCAGGGACTATACCTTGTTAATTGCTGACCCCACTATTAGAACAGTTTCTGACACACAGGAGGTGATTAATAAATCTTCGTTGGGAAAAATAAATAGATGAAATCAAAATATATAAAAATGTAGTACTTTTAAATTATTTTGTGAATAAATTTTTATTTCCTGATGAATTACCAGGAGTGGCTGGATATATTTTGATGATCTAATTACAGCAGTTTCTTTCATGTTTCTGTATACTGAATATAAAGTCTAAACATTGGCCAAAGGCCACAAGGCAGTCTGGACAAACTCACGAATGACACTTGACCTTTATACTTCGATGTCAAATGAAAAACGAAGGGTCTGACCTATGTTGTGCCTTAATTAGATTTTTTTTTTTAAACCAAGGCATTGTCTTGAACTTGACTTCCAGATGTGAAAAATACTTGGTGTGACCTGTAAAATGCAGTTAACTTTATATGCTGAGAGATATTAAGTGGTCTATGATAAAGGCCCCGCCTACTTTTTTCAAAAACAAAGTTAAACATTTTGCCAAAAGAATAATTCAAATTAAGATATAGTCCTGTCATTTGTAAATTAGAAATAAATTCTTATTATAGAATAAAAAAATACACTCCACCAAATATGACAGTAAACATTATTAAAATAAATTCAATGATCTTTTAAAAAAAGATTACAAAATTGAATTTATTGAGTTTCACACAAGATGCACTTATAAAATTAGTACTGAATGCCATTATAACAGAAGAAATGGACATCATCCTAAACTCCCAACAGCATCTGCAAAGGAAATGAAAATCTTCTGAAAATGACAGCACGATAACAGAGTAATTCAAGCGGAATTGAAAAATATAGCCAAGCCATGTTCTTGTTGTGACCAGGGCTGTGTTGGCAAAGCTTTCTCCAAACTATTCCCATTCACCGTGGGCTTTGATCCTTTTTTTGGTGAAACGGGGATGGAAAAAATAATAATTCTAAAATGTGGCTCCATTGAAACACACACCGAGCATATTAAAAGTCTTCTCATTTTTAACTTAAAATACTTCCTGTTTTCACGGGGGCATGTCTGTACAGTTTCCTCAACATCAATCTTCAGATTTCTTTCTTTAGTGAATATAAAAACATTAAAATTCACTTTTACATTTCAAATGAACAAGTCAAAGCATTAAGGCTTGCTTTTTATTTCATCCAGAAAATAGAAAAATCACCTAAAATTTGCCTTCTGTGCATATATGCCTGAAACATCAGCACAAGAGCTGAACTTTAAAATCAAAACATCAAAGGAAATAAGAGTTAACAGTACCATCTTCTGGACAGTTCTGTAATCAGAAGTCGTAAAGTTTCTATAGAAACACAGACAGGATTCTCAAGACAAAATGGGTGGAAAATAACTTGTCCTATGGCGCAGGCCACCAACTAGTAATTAAGCAGAATTGGAATCCTGCTCTCCAACAAAACCGAAAAGCACCTTTTGGCTGCTGTTCCCAAGAGCCAAACACAGATGCCTCCCCACAACCAGCACCCACACGCCTCCAGCACCCACTTGCTTTTGCACAAAGTCCTCTCCTGACCCAGGTCTACACGATCCCAGGCACAGGCTTGCTCTGACAGTCACTCCCCCACAGAATGCACACCCCACCCCAGTACAGGAGCACATGCCGATGACCCACATGGGAGGACCAACGCATCTTATAAGCCCAAGCAAGATGATGTTGCCCAATCTACTTGGAGTATTTACTTTCAAAAATCCAGGGAAAATCAACAATTTTAAATTTTGTGCACTGACAAATTTCCAGCCTATTCAACACCAAATCCTTTGAGCTGTAATAATTTATGAAGCAATTAGTTTTAAAGCAAAATCAGTTAAGTATACCTTAAAGTTAACACTGCTCTGCTTTTTGGTATAAAAAGTGTCTTTTTATAAGGAAATTTCTATTTTATCCACTGCCATTAAATGACACATAGCTCACATTTTAAAGAGTAAACTTACAAATTATGAAACATTTTTCCAGTAATGCATAACCTTAATTAAAAAAAAAAATAAATGAACCGGTTTAGCATTTGTTTTTCCTATACAATGCTACTGTTCATTGTGTCTTATTTAAGGTAGGCTTTTATTCTGATTAATTCAGATAAATCTTCAAAGATGATTCTGGTGGTAAGAACATTTACCTTGACTTACGTTTACTAATTTTCTTTAATGCTTTGGCAGATGAAGTAAAGTTTGAAAACTGTTTGTGAAAATAGTATGAGACTGGAAAGGTAATAGTTTCACAGTTTCCCAGGTATATCTTTATACTGAAGAGGCCTTGAGGCAAAACTCAACATTCTGGAAGCCCAGATTGACAAACCAAACAGATCCTGATGTTGCTCTGGTCAGTTCCACGAAGTGATGCCACTGTTTGGCCAAGCAGGAGGAAGTTTTTACAATTCATCAAATTTCCCAGAGAGTCAAGGCCGGAGGTTGCTGCTGTTCCATGATCTGACTTTCGGCCAGACCATATTACTGGAAGATACTAAGATTTGCTTGCCAATAATAATTTATCGTTTTAAATAAATATTTAAGTGCCATGGGCAGCGTTTGTCCGTCCTGGCAACCCAGGACCAGCTTCTTCAGCACACAGAGCCGCAGATTCAGTCAATTCGGTTTCCACAAATTGTGAACCTGTCTATCTCTAACAAATCTTTCTTTGCAGATCTGTGTTTTAATTCAGAACTGTCCTGCGTTATGTCCTTCTCATCCCCATCTGGAGTTGTCAGAAACTGATCAGAATTGCTTGTCACAAGTAATGGTATGACATTTTCTTTTTGATGAACAGGCTGGCTGGTGACTGAAGCAGACAGGTTTTCTTCCATGGAAAGGCCTGTGATAAAATTGATCCACTGAATTAGAAAAATATTTTCTCTAGTTTACAATAAATTCAAACTTACCAAAAGTAACACTGAAAAGTATCCACATTTTAGATAAAGCAACTAATAACCAAATAGTAGCTGTACAAGCAGCCATGTTTATAATAAAATTTAGAGGCTAACCATCTCTATCAAAAATTTTAAGGAAGAACATATTATGTTGATCACCTCACAGTAATAATACCACCACCCAATTGTGGAAAGACCAGAACGCCTGCATCACAACTTCCTCCTATGTGATCAAGACGTAATATGACTGTGGCTAACCCTGAAAAATCAACATTGGCTCCCTCACGCGGACATCAAGGAGCGAGCTAAGGAGCCTCTACTACATTCCACTTCTTACTTGTAGTCACTTTAGGTAGGCTTGGTTTGGCATCATCACCTCTAGGAAGTCCAAATCAGAAGTAAAAACAAGCCAACAAGCAAAACTCCCAATGCTTAAATTTTAGGCCACAGGGATCCTGGAGCCTGGATCCAGCAGGGATGGGGCCTGGAGCCACCATCTGAATCACATATTCAATCCTTATAGGAACAGCTTCTCTGAGGCAAAAAAGACAGACCATAAGGTGTACATATTTAAAATATGTAATTGGATGAGTTTCGACATGTGCATCCACCTGGTGACACCCCAGCCATGATGGAGGTGATTAACATACCCATCTCTCTCTTGGTCACTCCTCCCTCTTCCCTTCGGTCTCCCATCAACTGCTGTCTCTCGTCTCTTTTAGAATGTGATACACCTGATACTGCCTTGAGAGAGTCAGCCCCCTCTTTCTGGCTTGACTTAACACCCTCCCAAATGGTCTCTGGTCTCTTGACCTCCAAGACATTCTGTGTGGACACACTTTGCATCTTGAACACACTTTGCATTACAGGACCCCCAAGTCAATGGCTCTGCACTGCAATATGTGCTTAAATGTTTTACCCCCCGTTAGACTGGATCCTCCTGGAAGGCAAGACCGACACGCGATAACATCTTAACTAACATGCACAACAGAACACATACAGGCTCACTATGAATTATCTAGTTAATTAAGACAAATGCAATACTCATATTACTAATAGTACTTGTGTTCTTTATAATGAAACAATTTATTTCCTTGTGGTTAAGTACATTGTTATTTACTTCACTTTGCTCACACACAATGAGGACAGCTGGCCCTTCAGGTCAGACTTCAGCCCAGCCCGCATCTCTTCTCCTGCTTCCTTCCAGAGCACACTCTGCACTCTTGAAAACTGAGTTTCTGGTTCTCTGGGTGCTTTTTAAGGCCTCCGTGAAATAACTCATGCTGGCCCTTCTCCTGAAGTGTCCTTTCCGACAGCTTTCCCTGGCCTATTCTCATCCTTCAAGCACAAAGCTTGTGAATGGTGCTATTAAACAAAATGTCAGCTACATCGTGCCACTCCTCTGCTCCAAGTCCAGCAAGGGCTCCTTTCCCAGTAAGCGTCAAAGCCAAGGTCCTCACAACAGCCTGCAGCCTTCCATGGCCTCTCAGGCCCCTTCTTCAGTCTCTTTTCCTGGCACTAGGCCACTCTAGCCACCTGGTCTTGGCTGTCCTTCGATGCGTAAAGCACCTTCCTGCCTCAGGGCCTTTGCTGGGTGGGCTGGCCTTCTGCCTGGGATGTTTCCCTTGGAAGGCTGGCTACCGCCCATCCTTGGGCTCTGCTCAGATGCCATCTCCTCAGACTTGGGGGATTATCCCCACTACACTTCCCTTTCTCAATCCTGCTTTAGTTTCTCTACAGCACTTGCTGCCACCTGACACAGTGCCTATTGATTTCTCTGCCCTCCTCCCAACAATATAGAATAAACTCCACGGAAGTAGATACACTGCTTTGATGCCACCGCTGTGTGCCTTGGACCTAGCATGTAATAGATGCTTAAGACTCATCCACTGAACGATGGATAATTACATGGAAAAACTCAGAGCACTGTATCATGTATGTGTGTGATGATATCTAAAACAGAATCATTTAAAACATCCAATAAAAGTAAGTGAAGTGAAACCAAATCTTTACAGCCTTGCTCAATGTTGACTGAACCGCGATCTACCTCTTTGAAAACGATTCAGGGAAGTGACAGGAGGGACCAAACTCACCTTGGGAGGGTTTGCATTTGTTCTGTGATTTACTGGACGGCTTGTTTGGAGTGCCGGTTGGGGGCGGATTCGACAGCTTCTCTTCCATCTTGGCCTCCTTCACGTACTGACATGATTTCCCCAGTAGCACGATGCTATTCAGTACTTTCAGGGATATCAACCTAAAACAAGAAACATAACAAACCACCACTCCTGAAATTAATCTAAATCCCTGTGAATGCCATCCACGGCTATTGTGAATGAGAAAGCTGGGGGTATGAGGGCAGGGGACAGGCTCAGGAGTTAGAGGACCTTATACAAAGCCTGAGATTGTATAACTCAGGGAAAACTTTTGTTAAACTCCTTAGTTTTTGTTATAAAAAATTATACCAGTTAGAAGTTAGGAGGAGAAGGTGGAAAAGGTGGAAGTTTTTATTGGTACTAAATAATTTACATGCTATTCTCTTATTACACAAAAAACACATTCAGTGCATACGGATGAAAAAACATATAATTCCACACCCTAAGGACAATTAATCACTGTGGCCTTTGGTAATGACTTTTTAGTCATTTTTTCTGAATATACTTCTACTTGTACTTTCTTATTGGATAGAAAATGAGGGCTATTTGACAAGGCATAGGGGAGCGGAGTGAGGAACCAGAGCACTGAGACTCTAGGGTCAAGTGTCTGCATAGATTCCTGATCCTACCGCTGAGAATCTATGTGGCCTTGGGCAAGCTACTTAGCCAGCTAGTCTAGGAAGGAGAGGATCCAGGCAAGGGGCTTAGAGCAGTGCTTAGCACACAGAAATGTCAAGCTATTTTGTTATTTTAGTATTGTTGTTTATATAGCAATATATCATACGTGTTTTTACATATTAGTTAATGCTCTTCAGTGACACTATTTTAAATGGCTTTATAACATTTCACAGTATAGGTTATCAAACAACAAAGCCCCAAACCACCCCTATTTATGGATGTTTAGATTATTTACAATATTTTGCGTCTATTAAAAGTTTCTGACTAAATCTATTTTCTTAAGATAAATTCCTAGATATCTATAATTACAGAAATAAAATTTCTGGGTCAAAGACATGATATTTTAAGGCATTTGATATAAATCTGGCAAAAAATTACAAAAGAAATCTCACATTGGTATCTTCTTACACATAGTGGACCTTGAATGACACAGAATCAAGGACCAAGGCCAATAAGGTAAGTGGACTGTGGTTTTTATGCCTGGGGTGAAATCCTGGCAATGGCATGAGATTACAAGTCAGTGAGGACAAGTCTGAGGTGCAGACTGGAAATAGATCTGAGCAAGAGGACTCTCTACTCCAGGAGCAAAGAATGTGAACGTCCAAGAGTCCACAGAGAGCTGCGCTGCCAAGTGCCTTCTGGGCGAGACACTTGCAAATTTATCCCCAGCTTCCACCTTCCCTTTAAGCTCACTCTCCTTTCCCTGCTTCCCAGACACCACCTCAGGGATGTCCAACAAGCATTCCAAACTCACCGACTCCAGACCACAACTCTTGAGGACAGCCCTACCCTCTTCTCAGAGTCTCATCTTCCACCTCCACGTGCATTTCTCTCACAGGCTTCCCCATCACAGGAAATGGCAATTCCATCCACCCACACTGCTTGGACCCAAAACTTTGTAATCATACTGATGCTTCTTGTTCCCTCACCCCTTGCATCCCACCAATTCGCTACCAAGTCCTATCTGGCTCTACCTGGACTACACATTCAGTGGACAAAATGTCATCACTCCAACGCTGGCCATTCAGTTCTGGCCTTGGTCACCATTCCTCCACTTGGCCTGACTACAATTTCTCCCTCCCCACATTCCAATCCATTTTCCACACCGCAGCTTGCAAAAAACCCACCGGATGCTGCCACCCTCTGCTCAGCCCTTCCCCAGGTCCTCCCCCGCCCCCAACCCCACCCCATCCCTGCCTCCTTGTGGACTGCTATACTGCAGCTTCCCTGGAACCTGCTACCATTCTTTCAGGCTTGTGTGTCTGTCCTGTTTCCCCTTTGCTGAGCCTGTTCTCATGTAAGGTGGCTACATGACTCCCTCCCTTATTCCACCTGGGTCCTGGCTCACCACAGATACTGGCCACCCTCTCTCCCCCAGCTCCTCTGCCATTCTCCACCTCCTCACACTAGCATGCTTTTGTTCCAAATGCTGCTACCAATGGTCAACTTAGAGCGATTTGTTTTTCTGGGTGCTGTGTAGAATTCCAGCGACACCAAGGCAGAGCATCTCTCTGTTGGTCTCTAGGCTGACCCTGAGCCTAGCCCCAATGTCTAGCACTGCTCCCTGAGGAGTGCTGGCTGGATCAGTAAAGGCAGAGGCTGGCAAGTCTTCTCCCTACAACTGAAAAGAAGAGTCTGGAAGGAAAGAGATGAAACTGGGTGTGGCAGGGGGAAAGCATAGCATTTGATGTCAGGAAGCCCAACGGAATTCTTGTTTTTTGCTGAAGACAGACTCCTGGGTTTGGGGCAGCTAATGACTGAGGAGGTTTCATGGCCAAAGTGGTTTTGAGAAAATTTCTGAAGGAGGAGAGGACGATTTGGGTATCACCCAGAAATGAGGATAATTAAGACTAGGTGAGTGTGAGCAGAGTGGAAAGGTCAGTGAGCAGACTTGTCTGGCTGGCCTACCCAGGCAGAGAAGTGAAGTGATGCTGGGGTGGGTGGAGATCCAAACCCTGAATTGTATGTAATTCAGATTAAAGCACATCCCTTTGGTGAATTATGCACAGACAACTGTAACCAAACAAAGGTTTTCAGGTAGCTGGGATATGCTTCATTTCCTGATTTCAAAAAAAAGACTAGAACAATTAGCTTGTTAAACAAAGATAAGAACTTTGAGAGGCAAGGTCTCGTGTTTTTCAATGTTAAAAAACTGAAGTTACCTTAATCTCGTAACCATCTATGTATTCATTCAAATGGGAAATAGGAAATGATGAGAAAGTTGATCAGAATCAAATCTCGCTGTGGGTGTCACCGATTTTCGGAGCATCACCCAGCACTGCCCTGCAGGGTGAGGGATCAAGGCAGGCACTGCCGGTCCCCCACTCAGGATGCCCGCGGAGGATCAGGCAGTGCAGACAGTAAGAAGTGACTGTTCCCATGCTGCTTCGACAGAAGCTTCCTGAGCACCTGCCAGACAGTGTGCTAAGATCTGGGCAAAAAACAACGTAGAAAACACACTCAAACCACAAGGTTGGAATAGTACAGTTGTCTCTGCAAGCCAGACCTTGCCCTAGGGGAAGACAAGTGAAGCTACCATTCAAGTGATTACTGCTTCGCTCATTCTCTCCCTACTTTTTTCCTCTTGTGGCATTCGGCTCAGACCTACTTCCAGACCTCCATTCCCGGGGAACTCCTGTGCATCTCACCTAAGGGAGTGACGCACAATCAGGATAGGTTTCCTGATTTTCTTTTTTAGTAAATGAAAGATAGGCCAGGCTACTTTATCATTAATTAACTTCTTGAGAAAACTAACAATGGCTAACCATCATTTTATAGTACTATCTAGTTTCAGTCGTTCATTTACTGTTTATTTCCCCCAACCAGAATATAAGCTCATGAGACCAACAAACATGCAGATTAAGTTCAGCAGGCCATAGGCAGAGAAATTACATTTATGTGTTATCTGTGGATTTACACAATGTAGGCCTAAAGTGTGCTAAATAATTAAATGTGGCCAACATACTAGAAGGTCAAAGATAGTTTTAAATATGGAAAAATGTCTGATTACAATGGCAGACCTTTTTCATAAAAGAAAATATGGGTCAAACCTAAATCTTAAGCAAAAAGGGCTTTAAGTAAAAGATTTCACTAATAATTAAAATAAAAATCTAAAGTACTGTTAATACTACTACCACTGAATAGCAGCGTAGTTAATCTAACCAACTTATAAATACACTTGAAGGTACAAGCTGTTGAAAGGGAGCCCCTGACATGAAGTGGGATTAGCATGATTGGGGTGCTATTAGATTCCACTGCATCTGCATTTATATTTTACGATATAACCAAAAACATATTCAAGAATAATCTTACCCAAAATAGAAGAGTATGACACAGGCATAAGACAGGATTCCTTGCACTTTAATTGAGCTTGTTACAACTCTGATGAGCTAGCCAGAAACAGACCAAAACAACAAAAACATACAAACAGAACACACAACCACAGAATTATTAGTTAATTTTAAATAAAAGATTTCTCCATGCTGATTTTAACATTTTAGGTATACACCTATGGCCTCTAAATCCAAGAAGGCAGATTTGTCACTTCATATTAAAACCTGCCTGCTTGTGAAACTGTGTGTGGTGGATTTGGGTTTGTTCAGACAAATCTGGGACACATGTGGCTAATGCACAAGTAACTACTGTTGGCTCTCTGAGATCAGACGCTACACCTAGTACACAAATGACACATACGTTTACTCCCGGAGATGCAAATCAGTTGGTTTTTACAACAACAAAAACTATCCTGGGAAGTTCAAATGGATTCCTCTTCCTACATGTGTCCCTATCAGACCTACTATCGTTTGGTGGCCATTTCCCTTCCTTATTTCCACTTTTTCCCCAGTCTTGTTCTTTGACTCTTTTAAGAAGCCCCAGTAACTTGCAGAGAGCACAGAGAAAGGGAACTTTAAGAAGCCTGTACTGTTTTAAAAAAAAAACTAAACTATTAAAAAATTACTTAAAGGTTTAAAAAAAAATTTCTCTCTTTTGGATAGTTATGGCTAATTTTTTCTCACATTTCTCAAAGAAATAGAGGAGTAACAGCATTATCCTTATAAGTCTGCTGAATAAATCGTGAAACCAGTCAAAGAAAAATATTTACACATTATAGGTGCAGCTGTGCCCATATATTATGGTCTGGGGGGTTGGCTCTGTGGAAATGGAGAACCAGGGAAAAGTGGCCTTATTTAGTAACATCAAGTTACCAAATGTCTATTAGGGTGTCTTAAATAAATATCATAATACACGTTTAAAAGACATTTTAAAAATGCTTCTAATGAAAGAACAGCTGGGAGGAGGTAGGGCAATGGACTGCCATGTGTTCAATAAAGTTTCATTATGAGAAAACTGGCAATAGAAGTCCTCAATTGTGTCAGTCTCTAATGGGAAAATGACTATTGTACAGATATTTGTGACAGAAGTTAATGTGGCTCTAAGATCCATTCTTATCCATTAATAAGAAAAGCAAACCAGTGATCACATTTAAGGCTTAAGTGACTTCATTTTTATCTCATATATTATTCGGTAACTAGATGCACCCAAGGTCTAATTTCCATGAGACTTTAACGTTTTCTTTTCCTTTTTTCAGATATGAATTCACGTTAGGACCCAAGGTAACACTTAGAAGAAAACACTGTCATCCGGTGTCTTAGTCAAAAAACTAACTTGTTCCAGAGGACTTGGTATTTTGCTCAAGGCTTTGATGTCTGCAGAAGTTGCGGCATATGCTGACGCTCTGGCAGGAAAGTGCTGCAGGAGGAAGCCCACTGGGTCATGGCCTGACTACACAATCCCCCCCCTTCAAGCACCCAGGCGGCTTTCCAGAAGTGTGTTGCCAATCAATCACTAATTGCTCAAAAATCTTTTGGTATAACAGCCAGAAAAACTCATTTAAAGAACAAAATAAAGACCAGAGGAACATTGTAAAATACTAAATTACAAAAAAATTTGTTCTAATTATAAATTGAATTTCCTGACAAGCACCTAGACAAATAAGTCAATTATAATTTGGCAAGGCAGGGCCATATTTAAGTCCAATCATTTGACCAGTCCTTTAAAAAAGAAAAATCAGTCAGGCAGTCTAGGTTTATCCTCACACTTGTATGTATCATGTTTCCAGTTATAGGAAACAAATATAGAAAAAATTAACATTCTATTTTGCCAACCTCCGAAACCTTTAAGAAATAATTTTTAAAATCCTCCATTTCCCTAAATTTAGATGTCCCTTTTCCCATGCAAAAGAAAGCTATATTACTATATAATAAATAAGCTATTAATATAATTTAAAATGTTTAGAATGTGCTTATCTGGAAAAGACAGTGAAGTTTAAATAACATTAAACCTATTAATCATCCCTCATCTTAAAAAAGTCAGGAGAGCTCATTTAAAGTACAGTTGGTATGCCCTTCAACTTCTTTATATACTTCTTAGTTGACTTGCACGAGACCGCAGCTATGGAACTCTAGATGTCCTTTGACAAAAAAGATCAAAGAATTTGTTTTGATGTGAGAACAGGTAGTCAAGAAGGAATATAATCAAATACAAGTGCAGCCAGCAAATCTTCTTAACGTTATTATAGTCCAATGTGGCTAGTTACTATTTGCAAGGCTGTTCTGAGCAATTCATTAAAATATTTAAAGTTGATAACTCTTTTGGGGTTGATTTAGTAAATTTTAATACTATTTTTATTTTTTAAAAATACATATTTTCTGAGTATAACAGTAGAAATTTTCATTGTAAAAAAATTTGAGAAATTTTTAAAAAGTAGTAATTACAATGGATACAGATTATGCCTTCATTTGGGCATACTATAATTTCTTTAACCTATTTCATTTGTTTCCAAATTTTTACTATCATAAATGCCCCTGCAATGCACAGGTCATTGTGTGCCTTTTGTAACAGTTTATCTAGGATAATTCCTAGAACTGAAATGACTGTATCAAACCATGACACAGTCATACCACCTTCTAGAAATGCTGGATTTTGGCCGGGCACAGTGATGAATTCAAGACCTGCCTCGGAAACACCTTGTCTCTACAAAAACAACAAAAAAAGAAATATTGGATTTATTTACATTTCGCCCATATGAGTTACAGTGGCCATGTTAATACCCTGATATTTCCATTAAAAAAAAAAATCTTTGCTAAATGAATTAAACAAAAAATAGCAGCCTCATTGTTAGGGAAGCTATTTACACAAAACAGCTTAACACCACTTATCTATTAGCTAGTTCAACACTCTAAAGTATAATGCTATATAATTTAAAGCCAAATTTTCTTCCAAATTATTTACCATAAATTTTTATATCAAGTCCTTTCACAACAATCTTAGTAATACTACATTTACATTCATAAAAACGGTGATTTCATTATAAAAAACATAAAAAAATATGAACTTACTAAAACAGCTAATGGGAGAGGAATAAACCCCATCCTCCGTGCTACAGAGTCACTGTAATCAGTGTATGCCTGAATAGAGAAAGGAGAAAAGGATTCAGATTTATGTGATTTAAACAGCATTTAAAAAGTACTATTAACTCACCACCAGCAAAGGTTCTAAACAGGTGAGGCTATGAGCAAGAAGAGAATCCGGCACCTATTATGTAATTTAGTAGAATGATGTGAAAATCCAAATGTTTCTAAGAAAATTTAAATACAAAGCTGAGTAACTGTTACAATGCTGCAAAAATCACACACACTAATGTTAAGTATGATTATTATTCTTAATTTGTAAATGTTTACAATATAGGTAAGTAGGAGGTTTAAGTTTACGTAGCTTTCCTTTAACTAATATTGCATGCTAAATTAAGCCATGGTTCAGTTAATTTCAGACTGTGCCTTTGAAATAATGCTCACATTTTTCTGTCGGCTGCTAACGAGGTCAAAAGCAAGACTGGCTCTATATTCACTGTAGACCTAAACACAAATAAGAATAAAATATTAAGTAATATAGCACAAACATATCATGTGAAAAGATTTAGACTTACAGTAAAAAATGTTTAATAATTAGCCAGAAATAAGTGCTAATAACCAAGCAGACATCTGAGTATGATTTCTCTATTTGTTTTCCTACAGTATCAGTAAAACATAACCTCAATTCCCCTGAACCATTGCAATTCATAGAACTTCTAAAGGGTTTTCTTCATAAAGGAATAAATAAATACTCAATTATTATAATCCTGAGAGCTTAGAATTTTGGGAAGAGTGACTATTTTAAGTAGTATTGTGTGTGTGTGTGTGTGTGTGTGTGTGTGTGTGTGTGTATTTGAAATCTTAAATTAAATGAACAGTTGAAAAAGTTATTACTGTGTATTTAACCATAATAATGCCTTCTAAGAATAATGGATGCTAAAAATATATATAAAACTGAAGTAAGGAACAGAGTAGTTATGAAGGCACTTGCAAGTTGTCATTTCCATTAAAAGTTACACGAATATCTGAATCAAGCCTATTACTTTTGACTTCAGTTGCTGAAAAAATGATCCTATTAAAAGGGAACCATTCTGCATTGAGAAAGCTGGAAAGTAAATAGTGAAATTACTTAATCAGTGCTTCATAAAAAAGTACAAAACCCTATTTTCTTTACATATATTAAAGCATTCAGAAATCCATAATCAAATCATCAAATTGCAGCTGTTGCACATGCATTCTATTTTAAATCATTGTCTTTGAAATAAAACAAATATCAGAGAAACACTTACTAAAAGAACAATCCAAAAAAATCTAGAAAACTGTTGACCTACTATTTATTTTTGGACTGAGGTATAAATTAGGATTGCACTAGGAAAACGCTTATGTTTTATATACAATGAGCCTGTAGTCATGTATCTATTTTTGGAAATTCTAGAGAATATCTGGTTACAACATAAAACATCTCTTAAAGTTACATCAAATATAAGTCTCCTGTCTTCTGAAACTTAGCAGGAACCTATTTGTAATTGCAGAAAAAAATAAATTTTAAAAATATAAGATATTTTAAAATGTAAGTTATCTTAAAAACCTAGCCAGAGAGAAAATTTTTGATGATCTAAGTTTTAAAATAAAAAAAGTGATTTTAAAAAAACTTTAAGTAAACAGATTAGGACAGTCTTAACAGTTCACCATGATTCTACGTTAATGACATACTGATCTCAACTACTGGCTGATCTAAACTCTTGCTTAAAAGTATAGAACTAAGACTGTTGAATATTAAAATGCCTTCAGTAGTCTAATGATCTTTAGAAACAAAGTTTTAATTCTAACTTTAAAGTATTATCAATTTATTATCTTCATAAATGCAATAAACAAAATCATTCTACAACTTTACAATTTTAAGAAGTATAAGTAAACTTTAAACATTAAATTGCATATCAAATTACATACATCTGCAGTAATGTCATTGAACTTTGTGATAAAGGCATGTTTTACAATATCCACAGCAACTTCTGATGCAATTACCATACAGACATCTGGAAACAACACCCACAGATGATCTACAAAGTACAGAAGAAAGGAAAAACAATTAAATCTCTTAATATAAACAGAATCCGTATCATAGGCTACTGTAGAAATCTAAAATCTCCACAAAGTAAAATGAAAATACTTCCAATAAACGATGTCATAGACCAAGCATTCAATTGATTATAATCTTTATCAAAAAAGCTATGCTTTGTCAAGTTAAAGGATTAAACACAGATTATATTCGGTACTTTCTATGTGCCAGGTACTGCTTTAAGTGTGGGCCACAGTGGTGAGCAGTACCTTGACTTTGCAAAGCCTGCATGCCTAGCTAACTACATGCTGGCAGATTAAGCAGGTGCCTTAGAAAATCCTTTAATTCTATAGCTGCCTCAACATGGCAGTGAAGTTAGTAGAGACGTGCTATACCCAATGGAGCAATGTTCTCCTTCTTTGATCATTATAATTTAAAGATATGGATCAATCATTTATTTCACTGCCATATAGATGTTAATTTGCTAAATTCACTCACCTTTGCAACATTAAAACATGAACTCGAAATGAGACCTAGTATTAGGTAGATCCTACAGCTTACAATAATCTATTGTATACTGGAAAATAGCTAGAAAAGCTAGAATGGTTCTAGCATAAAGACCAATATTTAAGTTGATAGATACCTCAAGTACACTGATTAGAGCCTTACAAACTGTATGAATGTATTATATTATCACATGTCCCCCCCCAAACTATGTACATTATGCATCAGTAAAAAGAAATTTTAAATTGACTTTATTGAGGTACCAAGTACTAAGATCTTGTAGAAGGATGTTATTAGTGGGACAGAGCAAGAAAAAGATGGTTAGAAATGCTGATAAGGACCTATGGCCACTGAAGACCTGGGTGCTTGAGGGTGGGCTGGAGACCACACAGCAGGACTATATGTGCCAATGGCATAGACAGTTTCTGTGGAGTCTGGCATCATGGCAAGGTTTGGAAACTGGGGACCTCTTTCGTTAATAACTTGCCACTACCATATGACTTTGGGGAAATTTCTTTTCTTTGAATCTGCATCACAGGCAAAGGGTAAGTTTCTTAATAATCTACATTCTAGTTTCCTTATCTATAAAATAAGGATAATCAAAGTGTCTATACTTCACCATTATGAGAATTAAATGAGATAATGGTACACAGCAATGTGTCTGGCATACAAAATGTCTAGTATTATTTTTATGTTAATGGCCCTGGAAACTTAGGACATGCTTCCACATATGCGGTCTGTTGTTGACTGAAATGTCATTGTGTGGTAGATGACTATTTTTCCAATACCCAATTAGAGGACAGCCAAAGTCCTTTGAAGTCTTCTGCAATACTCCTTTGATTCCATGTATAAGAATGATTTTGGTTTAAGAGTAAAATTACAAGACATTGTTTTATTAAGGGTTACCTGGATTCCAAGAAAACTGCTCCATGTTTCTTAGGCACACTATCAGCAAAAGCACATAATTTGTGAATCGTTCCTTAATATCTGAAAAAAATTCAATGTACGTACTTTAGTAAAAATATATATGCAGCAATAATAAAGTACATACATAAAATAATTATTTTAGTCAGCACATGATAAAGTTAGTATACTATGTATAAATATCTATAAAATAAATACATAACTAGCAGGTGCTACGCTGGTAAGCCATTGACATCTTTTGACAAGATAATTCTATATGGAAATTCCAGTTCTTTTCCACAAACTCCAATATTCAAACCATCAGACTGCTCAGATGAAGTCATTAGACCCCCAGTGGGGACATATGACAACTGTTTTCATCTTACAGAAGAAGAAAAAATAGAAGCAGAGAATAAAATACAAAACTTTGGGTAACATAAAATCCCAGACGATTTTGGATCTGGTAAACAGTAAGTGTACAAGTATCAAATTGACAAGTACGTTAGCTGAGAGAATACTGGTATTATAAAAGCACGTATGATGTATGTAGAAATTGGGTGAAAAAAACCTCCCAAATTAGGCTTTGTAATATTTACCACAAATAACTATGTACTCTGAGTTTAGGTGGAACAAATAAAGGCAAATGACTGAATTCCTGCTAAAGATCAGTTTACACATCTCACCTGTTAAACTAGTATTCTCACAGAATCTAAGATACTACATAATCAAGAAATGGAATGAAATAAATCTGTCTTCAGTAAGTGTGGCACGTCCACGTGTGTCTGTGTACCGTGAGCACTGTGGCTAGAGACAATCACAGAAGTAATCATCTCACAAGTGTCTATAGACTTTGCTGTCATCTGCCTACTAGCCTGCTGCCTCAGTAATTCCAGGCCTCACCCATACCACTCTGCTGCAGCACTTCCTGTGAGAGGAGTATTTCCATTTTACCTGGTATACTTTGTGGGACTTTGTTCCTTTTTTCTTACTTCCACCTTTTCCTGTTACTCTCTAACAAAATGACTGGATTTTTATTCCACAGCAAAACCTTGGTCTCTGTGAGTGGTTGGCCTTGATGCTCCGTCCCTTTCCTAAATCCTTAAGCCCTCAGTTGCTGGTCCTACTTTTCCAGGGAGGCTCAGCTCCTTATATGTGATGGGTCTGAGCTGTACTTTCTGTCTCTCAAAGCACAGAGGGCCCAACTCATGAACTCCTGGGTTCAAGCAATCCTGCAAAGTGCTAGGATTACAGGCGTGAGCCATTGTGCTTGGTCTACAGTCACATCTTAAACATGTGACTATTTTGTTTCCAGCAGTCACCCAACTTTATTGAGGTACACAGGCTTCTGTTAAGAGTGTTAAATAGAGTCATCCTGAGCTAGTCTTACTTCAGGCAACCTAACTCCTGAAGGGTTTTTCTGAATGCACAGTTCACATTACCAATGGGTAAAAAAGCTACCCAAATAAAAATATCTCATCTTAATGATGAAAATCAGAATGCTCTGAGTTCTACATTCAGCTGGTGCTTGCATTAAAAGAAAGAGGAAGAAAAGGACAAATTGTTAAGTCTGGTTTTATTAATCAAACTCCATTTCACATGTCCTCAGGTAATTCCTCTAAAGAAAATGTACAGTCAGTGAATACTGAAAGAGATAAAATTACTCTAAAATTTTCAAAGTCTTCCACATCAAGCCAGCCTGATGTGCTGAACCTTACAATATGTATATAGCAAGTCAATTTCTGAGGGAGAAAAAAATTCAGAGTAAAACTCATGAGAGAAAAAAGCTGATGTGTGAGTACTCCTGCTGACTAGCTCTTCTTGAGTAGCTACTGGGGAGTACAAAGGAGGAAAACTACTCGCTTGAAGAGTAAAAGCAGCTCTCAGTGACTGCCGACCTTTCCCTTTACAATCTGAGTACCATATGCAATTTTAGCTAGGTTGCTTAGATTTTTTTCTTACTTGGGAATGGGTTTTAAAATCTACCCTAGAATAAACTAATTTGCTATAAAACCTAAAGGGTACATACAATGCAGACCACCTTGCACTGTAACATGAACTATTTTACTTACAACAAAAAGTCATACTTTTTGGTGCCGCTTACTAAACATTTTAGGCCAAAGTAAACTGAATTTTCCAAGAACTGATATGCATACCTGATCAATACGCTATTTATTTTTCAGAAATTTCTTAAAACTCAAATACTGAATCCCTAATATCTAAGTTAAGAGGTTGTAATTCTGGGGATCTGTTTATAAAAGAGAGAAAAGGGTATTTAATTACATCAGCACGTTGGTAGTAAAGTTAGAAACCATTCATGATGTCCTCCTCTTAATTCTGAGGCTCTTATACACAAGGACCAAAAACCCTTAAAACTTAAAATCTGCATGTCTGGTTTAAAGCTCTATAAAGAGCACCCACTCGAAGCAGGACTTTAATATAGTAAAAATAACATGCTTTCTCAGCAAATGAAATTCCTATAGTTGAATCAGTGTTCTCTATGGCTAACTACTGAAGTGGACAAAAATGTCTATGTGTTCCTTCCCTTCCCTCCCCTCTTATTTCAAATTCACAGTGTATGGCAGCATGCATCTAAAAGGAGAGGTGTGCCAACATGCAGCAAGACAGAGTACCAACTGCCCCTCAGAATTCTGCAATCCAGGGTCCATCGTCTAGGCTTCAAGCTAAAGTTTTCCATTTGTTCTTTTTGTTCCTTGCCTGATTTTCAGTCTCCTATAATGTGTTTGTTTTCATATATTCATATGCCATTATGTTCCTTGTCTAAGACAGGGGTAAAATTTACATAGAGTGAAATGCACAACTTGTAAGCACACGATATGAGTGTTGATCAATGCATAGCCTGCATCACCAATCCCCTAATTAAAATATGGACAAGTTCCATCACCCAGAAAGTTCCCTTGCATCCCCCCAATCAATCCCCATTCCAATAAGCAGTCCCTTATTTCTGAATTTTGTTTGATCATACTCATATAAATGAAATCATACAGTATGTACATTTTTGTGTCTGGCTGTTTTCTCTCAACATACTGCTTTTAAGATCCACATAGCTGACTATATCAGAGTTCATTCTTTTTTCTTTAATTGCTGAGTAGCATTCTATGGTGTAGATATACTACCGTTTGTTTATTTTTCCTATTGATAAATATTTGGGTTGTTTTTAGTTTTTGGCTAGCATGACTAAAGCTGCCATAATAATTGTTGTACAAGTCCTACTGCGAAAATATGTTATTAGTGCTGAATTATAAGGCAGGTGAACATGTAACATTTAACAGAGCAGTTTTAATATTTTACACTGACACCATCAAAGCCTGAGTGTCAGTTAATCCATATCTTCACTAACTTTTGACATTGTTGGGCTATAAGGGAGCCACTCTGGTTGGGTGTGTCGTGATACTCTGATTATGGCTGTATATTTCCCTCATGACATTTTCCCTTATAATGCTGGCCACACTTCATGGTGCTCATCCATCTATCTATCTATCTATCTATCTATCTATCTATCTATCTATCTATCTATCCATCCATCCATCCATCCATCCATCCATCCATCCATCCATCCATCCATCCATCCATCCATCCATCCATCCATGAATCCATCCATCCATCCATCCACACACACACTTTGTGACGTGACATGTCTGTTTAAGCCTCTTCCCCATTTTTAAATTGGGTTGCTCCTTTATTATTGATTGGTAGAGTTTGTTATATATTCAGGAAACAAACAATCAAAAAAATCCCTTGTCAGATATATTTCAAATCTCTTCTCCTAGTAATGTGGCTTGCCTTTTTCATGTTCTTAATGTTTTTACCGTGTTTAAATTTTTACTTCTGAAGAAGTCCAATTTCTTCTTTTTTATAGCTAATGCCAAATGTAGCCTCTAAAAATGTTTGCCTACACCAAGGCTGTGAATATATATTTCTATATTTTATTCTAAAAATTTTATAATTTTGGCATGTAAGTTTAGGCCTAGGAACCACTATATATTACTCTTTTGGGCAGGGAAGAATCAAAGTTCTTTTTTTAAAACTTTTATCTAGATGTTCCGGCATCACTTACTGCAAGACTCTTCTCACTACATTTTAGTTTGTTTTAGACAATACAAATATTTTTGATAGAAATGTTATTTATGTTAGCGTGTGGTATTTTTTTTTAGAGTTTCATTTTAATTTCTAATATGGTGAACAGGGATAGGCATCAGCCATATGAACAGAAGTCTACTGGGATCATCATAGTTTTTAAGAGTGCAAATGAGTCCCAAGACTGGAAAGTCTGAGACGTGGTGCTCTAGATGAGTCACATGTTCTTATCTAAATCCATCTCCCATGCCTCCCCAGGACACCCTCAGCTACCTCTAAGTCGTTGCCAAGTCGGGCTCCTTCAGTTGTGCTTCTCTCCTACATCTGTTTGGATTCGTGCAAAGCACCACAGCTTTTTCATGAGTGCAAATGTCACCATGGTAGAAAAGATGAATAACATCTTCAATAATGCACTTGTGAAAACAGTTTTGACTATGAGGGCTTGGGGACTCCTCTTGAGGGTTCCACAGACCACTGCATTTTGCTACTCTGACTTTTGTAACTATGTAACGAAATTGTTTCGAAACAAATTTTGTACCCTCAAAGTTCTTAGGATCAGAAAGGAGGCAGTAAGATATACTGAAAAAGCTGAGGGCTCAGAGACAACCTGAGGTTTATCGTTATACTTCTCCTCTCAGTAGCTATGCGAGTGACTATAAGGAAGTCAAATTACTTTGTTTAGTTTCACATCCATAAAGTGTAATAATATCACCTGCTTCAGATAAATTTCTGGATTAATAAAGCTTCTCAAAGTATGGTATGGTGCCACACGAATGTTTTAATGTTTTATTATTTTAAACACCTTGCAATCACAATAACTAAAATTGGTAAGGAAACCTAGTAAAGATGTTGATAGTGTAAGAAATACAGCTTAAGCCAAAGAAACACTGGCTGCAGAAAATGTGACATTAGGATTTCAGAATGAATTGCAAACTAATACTGCATACAGCTACAAGTAGAAACTAATTGTACATACCGCTATTTGACATTTGAAAGAGATTATTCTTTTCAAACTTCTTGAAAACACTTCCTTTAATTTCAACAAACTGAAACAATAAATAGAAACATCATCTTTACTATTATAACAGTTTTCAAACTGGACTTGCTACATATAAAACTTCCCAGAGAATAAGTAACATATAAAGCAAATAGTTTTATTCCATCCAAAAGGCTGCTGCTAAAGTGCCCATAAAATCTCAAAAATGTAAAATACAATCTCATACTTACATTATTAGACATCATGATAGTAAGGAGTGATTTATTGTGTGAGTTAAAAGCTACATTGAGAGTTGTTGCTTGAACCATTATAAGAATTGCATGTAAAACTAATACTGTGTCAAGGAAAAAAACTTTCGAAAGGGAATGAAGAAAAAAATGACCATGCTTTCCAAATTAAGTCTTACATAAGTATTTTATTATCGGCGTAATTTTCCTATTACCTATAGTTGATGTAAAATTGATAAGATGTATGCAATCTATATGAAAAAAACAAAAGTAGAAATGAACCTTTGTGCATCCATTTAATTTAGCTTGTGAGTCCTTCAGAACAAGGCTGTTTTGTTCCTTTTTTATCCCTGACATTTGGCACAGTGCTTGGGGAATAGGCCTTCAGAAAAGTTTGTTGGCTGAACACAGTGATTCATGCTTATAATCCCAGCACTTTGGGAGACTGAGGAGAGAGGGCTGCCTGAGCCAGGAGTTCAAGACCAGCATACGCAATACAATGAGACCCTGTCTCTACAGAAATTTAAAAAATTAGCTGGGTATGGTGGTGTGTACCTGTAGTCAGAAGGATTGCCTGAGCCCAGGAAGTCAAAGTTGTTGGGATTTGTGATTGTGCCACTGTCTTTCAGGATGGATGACAGAGTAAGACCCCAAGTCAAAAGACAAAGTTTGTTACATAAAATCATTTATGGTAAATATTGAAAGAAGAGATTCAGAAATATATGTTCTGAATGAAGGTAATTTGCATTTCAAAAAAGAAAAGACCACAAAAGTCTGGTGTAAGACAATAAGAAATGTCTGATAAACAAGACTCTTCTTCATGTGTCATTTTGAAGATATCCATAATTGGAAGAATTATATTCATATTACATACAGAACAGTTAACTTATTTCTAAGAATGGTAACGTTTATTCCATGAAAACTGAAACAAGCTTTTATCTTCATAGATATCTTCTCACTTAATCCTTTAATTTCTCAAGTATTAACCCGATTTCTTTCAAGTATCATCCTTCCAGAGACGGTAAGAAAAAAAAAATGGCATAATCCTGTGAATGCGTACTGATTCCGTATGGAACTGAAGAGAAGGTTTATATAGGTGTGCAAATATATATGTACGAGTATACAAAGACATACATCCTGAGTATATAGTAAAGCATTAACTTTCCAAAAGAAGTTTTAAGCTGGAGACATGGATGGACATACACACACACCACCTCCCCTCCAAAACTCCTCCCAATCAAATTTCATATTTTACTTCTAGATAGATGCTGTACATTTTAAGCCAGAAGTTATAACAAAGAATTCATGGATTTAAAGATAACTTCCAAAAAATTCTAATAAGTATGAAAAAGTTATACAGAGCTACATAAATGTAAAGGATGCATAAAAACAGTCCCTTTCATTATAAAATCCTTCCTAACAATCAGTTACAATGAGAATGGAACCGTTTTCTAGCAGCTCAAAGAGCAGTGCGATCTGAGGCACTTTAAATTAATCACAATTACTACCACACAATTTGTCAAAAGAAAGGAGACATTTCACATTAACCTTCAGGTCATACATATATATCCTTAAATCCGTGAAATAGCTAACCAAATTAAACAAGGAAGACTATGCACTGACTGTTGAAATTTCCAGTAAATCTAAAAGGATACAGACATAGAGAACGGCCATGAAAAAGTGAGGAATCACTCCAATATGGGCTCTCTTTCTTTCTTTAGGCTCTGTTGCTGTCCAATAGAGAGCATCTAATATATCTTGTCCAAATGATGAAAACAGACGATCAGCTACCTAAAAAAGAAAATACCGGAAAATGTGTTTCTCAATATTACACTTAAAGATGTTACTAAAATTCAGATGTGACTTAAATACAGGAGATCTCATTTAAAAAAATTCTAGTAGACAGTAAGCTAAAAAACAAGGATCTGTGTTTATTCACTCACATGCTATTCTCTAACAGTAAGTACTCAAATATTTATAGAGTTAAAATCAGACTTTGTTTAATTGGCTATGTTTGTAACAAAGAAAGTCTTACATAGTGATGAAAATAAAAAGAGGTGGGCACATCAAAATCACCATTCCTCTGGTCTTAGCACTTTAAATTTAAGCTCAGGATTCAAACTCAAATTCTTTAGGACAAATACATCATTTGATTCACTCTACCCACGCCTAAGACTTGTAAACAATGGTAGCTGTATTTTTGTTTAAGGTTCATTTCATGGCATATAATGTGTATACATTCCAGTTGAATCCTGAATGATATGCCCTCCTTTTTTCTTTTTCATTGTCTCTTTTTACTGTTATCCTAAGAGAGGCCTTTCCCAGACCATCCAATCTCTTGTGGTTGTTATGGTTTTTGTTGTATTACTATGTTCTTTTTCATCATAATACTTGCATTTCCTAATATCTCCTTGTTTATTGTCTACCTTCCATCTGTAGAATATAAGCTCCAAGAGAACAGGCTTGTTCACCTGTGGATCTTCAGGGTCTAAGACAGTGCTTGACAAGCAGGATGTGCCGATTAAAATTTTACTGAAAGAGTAAATAGCAAATACTTAGGGAACTCTTACCATATGCCTGACATTGTGCTAAGTCCTTTCTACGTATTGTTTATTTAATCCTCATAATCCTCCTAGTGTCTCCACTTTACAGATCAGAAATTGAGCATTAGAGATACTGAGCAACTGACAACTGTGTCTAGGATGACCAGGTAATAAACAAAGGAACCAGGGTTTGATCGGAGATAGTTTGTCACTAGACTACAGCCTGGACTGCTGTCTGCTATTCTTAAGCCACAACATCAATTACACTCTACCAAGTCAATACATATTTAAATCAGCAATTCATGGATTCTTTCTCCTGGTTTATTTTCTAGTAACAGCAATAGTAATACTACCTTGTAGAGGGCTTTGTATGGCAGGAGACATAAATACTAAGTTTGGGGGCAGGGAGAGGCCCTTGTCCCTGCAATCCCCTAAGAGATAAAGGAGACCTCACTGGCATGAAGAGCACCCAAACAGCAGCAGGGACATAGGAATAAGGCCCAGGTTCTTCTTTCTGTGAGCGGGGAGGGGGGCAGAACAAGACCAATGACTCTGCTTCACAAACTTCATCCACCCCACTGCCCAACCCCTGCAACCTGCTAGGTGGGGCAAAGCAAGTACACAGGAAGCAAGCCTAGAATCAGGAAGCTCTGGAGTATGGTTTTAAAATATCTCAGTCTTGAATTTAGGTGTAACCAGGATGGCTAGAGTTCCAGAGCTGCAGTGAAAAGACGGAAAGTTCCTGTCTATCACAGGAATGCAGCTTCAGAGCAGAAAGGCCAGTGGCTCCCACCCATCTGTCCACTCACTAGGAAGAATCGCTTCATGGCTAACCTAAAGAATGGATAGACCTTATTTGTATCCCTAAAACTATAGAGAAATCCATTTCAAAGTTTATTATATAACCGAGGGTAACTTACTATTTAAAAAACTTGTTAATATACTGCCTATAAAGTAAGGCATTTTTTTGGTAAAAATGAATGTGTATCTCTTCAAATTACTTTTTGTATAAATGCACATTTTCACACACTGAATGCTTTTAAAGTGAGACATATTATATTAAAAACATTGAGTACTTAGAAAAAAAATCAGGAAATATGTTTACTTGCTCTATTTAAACATTTCAAAGCAACTGAAATGTAAATCTATTTCAGCAAACATACATAATCAAATATTTACTTCATAATCTTTAAAGTTCTAGTTTAAAAAAATACACATGAATTTTCGATGAATTAGCAAAACAAATTTTCCTAGTATTTGATAATTTACATACTCAAGGAGGTACTGACTCAAATTGTACAGGCAGCAGGAATCTTCCCTGCATACTTGAGGACTGTCACTCTAGGAGTGCCCCAGGACCAGCAAGACAGGCCCCTCATCCTTAGAAATGCAGATTCTTCAGCCCCAGGCCAGATCTACTAAGTGAGAATTCACATTTTAACAAGATCCAAGTGATGATATGTACATTAAAGGCCAGAAGCATAATTAAAGAAGCACAATCAGCAGAAGGATATTCTTGACTCTCAGTGACTTTCTGTATTGCAAAACTTGAAGCTGCACATATCAACCAGACCCGTGCAGGTGGCAGCGCTAGCCTGAACACAAAGGGTAAGCAAGGCCCTTACCTCTAGCATGTTGTAGATGATGTAGAGCTTGATGACAGACTGCCCCCTTATCAGGTGGTACATCATGGAGTAGTCAACATAGTGCATCATGAAATAGCAGATGACCAAAATGACGCCCTTCAAAATGTCACACACTTGGGCAGGCTGAAGCAAACGTCTGTCCCTGAAGTACACAAGAAGTAATAAAAATATGAGTTTTACTTTGTGTGTTCTAAAAAAAAAAAAACTTTACTGACACACAATGGTATACAAAGGTAACAGTGAGAATTTTGTTGATCTTTTAAAAACTTCAAACTAACAGGGAAAGTTACACTGAATGACTACTCAACCATGTTAAATTTTTGTCCAAAATACAGAATATAAAGATGTTAAGTCAAATTACTAGTAGAAGTTGAAAATCTTATCAAATAGGCACAGAGAGAAAGTGTGGCTGATAGGTGCTTTAAAGGCATGAATTCCCATGACTACGGCATAAGCCTTTATTCCCATCAGAAAGCCCTGTTTGTAACCTGCTGGGTCAGCCCTTTATACACAGTTACATTCTCCGCGCATTGCTCCGTACCTTGAATTATTATTTAACAGCATACATTATCAACTCATGGGGAATTCATATTTTTAAGGCAGCATAGTGTTGTACTATATGGATAAATCATAATTTACTTAACATATCATTGACAGATTTCCAGTCTTTGGCAATTATAAACCATGATGTAATAATATACAGATAATGTCTCATATATGAAAATATATCTGTAGGATAAATTCCTAAAATTGTAATTTCAAGGTTATATTCACTTGACATTTTGACAGAAACAGTTGAACTTCTCTCTGTTGGAGTGTACCCATTTATCTCCACTAGCTAAGTTATGAAAAAGCCTGTAGCCCAGTGCATCAATATAGTGTTTAATCAACTTCTGGATCTTTGCCAATCTCTTTGGTGAAAAATGGTACACAGTACAGTTTCAATGTAATTTCTATCATTAGGAAACTGTAAATCTTGTCCACATATTTAATAGCTATTTATATTTCTTGTGAATTCTCTTTTTGTACTGGTTTACAGATTAGCTTTTATGTTACAGAAGTTAGTCCTCTGTGACTTGAGTTTAAATATTTTCTTTATTAATTAGTATGAAGAATCATTCCTTACTTCTGAGGCTACAGTATGAAGAGTTAAACCTAAATTGTGAAAGAAACATCTTAATTAAGACAGAGTAAAAAATATATTAGGAGAAGAAATTTAAGATTTCTTTCACTGGACTTAAAATTCCTGAGACAAGAATGGGCAAGCTGCTTTCTCTCTACCTATTGCAGACTGATTTCTCAAGACAGAAAACACACAGTCTCCTGCTTTGGCAGCTTTTATTCATAGTGCAATCAATAAAACAGCCCAAGTATTTTCTTTAGGAACTGTAGAATCTCTTCACTTCCATCGATAGTGACCAATATCTAGGCAACAATATATGGGTGAGCTTGTTTTCTCACTGGCATTGGTCAGTTCAGTTGTCTGCATATTTGGTATTTCTTGGCTACCTGTTTTCTAGAGTTCTTTCCTAACCCTTGTCCACATTCAAATCAGGAACTCTTTTCTTCCAAAGATCCTTACAGCGTTCAGCAAGGAATCTACACATCTTTCAAACTGTTACCTGACACATTTCTTTACAAGATTAACAGTGATGTAATATTAATTCTGTGTGCTGTTATAGAATCTCATTCATGTTTTCAACAATGTACACACTGTACAATGTTTTCAGTTAGGTATGACTTTGGTTGATCTGATTACATACAGAATATGGGATACTGCAGAAATCCTGAAAAGAGACACATTCTATGAAGACTGTGCCCAGAAGGGCTAAAGGAGGCTGGAAGTACATGGGCTGAACTAAAGAGCCAACATGGGAGACAGGTCAGAATTTGTCTATGTCAAACCACATGGCTTGAGATGGGTACAAAAAACCAAGTAAAATTATACTTGGTAGTTGAAGTTAGTGCTTTGGACAAAACTACATTAAGGACAAAGTTGATCAACCTATCATTATTTCTCCATCACCCTTTCTTTTCTCTAATGCTGCTCCTCTCTCCCAGAGAAATGTGGAACCCAGAGTGACCTTCATCTCTCATTTCCCAGCCACCAAGCCCAGAGGACACATCTCTGCCAAGGGCATTTGCCTCTCAAGGTAATTTTTTTGCTCCCATCCTAACAAAGACCGAAAATAAAAGAGCTATTACATCTGTCAAGAGTTGGATCCTGATCATTTAAACATATTTCTGTGCAAACACTGAGAGGAAGAAACACTTTGAACACTCCTGAGATCCTGGCCTACATGTGACTATCTTCACTTAGGCATCTTCCTGCCTCCAGAAGTGTGCATAACTCAGCATGTATTGAAAACCACACATTATTAATAGTCATGAGCCTTTGTATTTACGAACTATAAGTCATTGTTTAAACTCATAAGCCATGACTTATGAGTTTAAAAAGTGACAGAACCAAAAATAGGGAGGCATGACTTAATTTGCATTAACTACTAAAATAATTTTGGCACTTAAAGTAGAAAACTCTATTAGAGCTTTTGGTACTAGATGGTATCTACTTAGTTAAGTAATTTCAGTCAAAGCAATGAAAAAGTGTTTTTTTTCTGGTATATATCCAATTGTGTTTCTTTAGAAACATATTTACAACCAATGTATGATGTTGTAGTGTATCAGTGAAGGAATATTATATTTAATACAAGTCACTGTCAGAAATTATATCTACCAAACATTGGAAATATATATCCCCAAATAATATAATATCACACTTTTTAAACCAAGATGGTAAGTTAACTAAGAAAAGTTGTAGAAACACCAAATGCTACAATTCAGTGACTATGTGGCAGACACTGTTCTAGGCACTCAGCATAAATTCCTTCTAGTGTTCACAATGATTTTATTTAATCACCATGTCAGTTTTACAGATGAGACAAGGGGTAGTCAAGAACGTGCCTGTGGTTGTACAGTGACTAGTTCCCAAGTTGTGGGTTAGGGATCGCTATCCAAGCAGTCTGGCTCCAGAAGTCATGCTCTTCACAACCACCTACATGCTAGATTTTTTTAAAAAAATAACTTTTAAACTTACATGAATCAACAACTCAGAATCTTTCATTTTTCAATAAAATCTAACGCCGAATAATCTATCACTGTACTGTGATCTCACTTGGAAAAATTAAGGTGTTAAAATCTATCATTTTGTTTGCTACTTCTAAAAATGCAAGGAACAAACAGGAACATATATACCAGGGGAGACACAAAAAAATTCCTGAATTATTTTTTTGGATCGTGGACCCCTTGTAGTATAGGCCTCCCCGACTAGGTGAGTACTCTAGGAACCCATTAGCATCAGTACCAGCTAGCATTGTTGTGAGAGGCTGCATTTGGTTTCACTAAATTTTGGGGGGAGATTCTTTCAATGTATTTGCTCATTTCATGATGGGTGATTAATGAGCATACCCGCTCACAGAGTGCTGAGTGTTCTGCAGCTTTTGAGCAAAAAATAGCCTGATCTCTGTGCCCTACCTTTCCGATTCATGGGATTTCACCCTGAGCAACTTTGTTTTTGTTTCTCAGGATGAAAAAATTCTTAAAGGAAAACATTTTGCTGTTGGGGAAGAGGCAGAAAAAACAAAAACAAATAAACGGCAGAAGCACTAAAAGGCATCAGAATTGATGAGTCCAAAAACTGTTTTGAAGTTGTGCTAGATTACACTACAACTAACAATGTAAAAATGTTCCCTTTTTCCCCGCATCCTCTCCAGCATCTTTTGTGTTTTGAATTATTGATGGCCATCCTGACTGGAGTTAACCTCTGGAAAACAGTGTGGCGATTCCTAAGAGAACTAAAAATCGACCTCCCATATGATCCAGCAATTCCCCTTCTGGGAATATACCTGGAAGAACTCAAATCATTCTACAAAAAAGATACCTGTGCACGCATGTTTAGTGTAGCACTATTCCCAATAGCAAAAACATGGAACCAACCATGCTACCCATCGAAAGTAGACTGGATTAAAAAAAATGTGGCACATACACATGATGAAATATTATACAGCTATAAAGGAGGACAAAATTATGAACTTCGCAGCTACTTGGATGGATTTAGAGTCTGTAATACTCAGTGATCTATCACAGAAACAAAGAACTGAGTACCAGACATGCTCACGCATAAGCAGATCCTGAACAATTATCATAATACTATAAGAAAGAGATTGGCAGTAGTGGGAAACTGCCAGGGGAGGGACTTGGCAGGGGACACACGTCATCAATAAGGGTACCTGAACTCAAACCAGGTAATGTGGGGACCTAAATGATGCCCAAACTTTATCTGCACAATGACCGTTTATATACTTAACCCTGAAGTGTACCCCACATCTTTAAAATTAAAAATAAATTTTTTGAGCAGTAGAAAAACCATCTCAATTAGGTGTATTACAGCAAAAGGAGAGTACTTTGAAGGTGACTGAATGTTAAACATGTAAGAATAAATACACAATGTTTTATAAACAAATTCTGATTTTGGGGGGGAGTCCCTCCCTTGTATTTCATTGAATCCATTGCTTTCCTGTGCACCCCCCTTCTTCTGGTGAAAATGTTCTATTGCTAACTAACATCTTATTGGTTGCTATGGAGATTACTGTTTTCAAAATCAAGGAACATTATCCAAACAAAGAATAAAAGCAGAAGCTGTAAGAAACAAGGATCTTGCTTTCTTACAAATGTCCCTGTTAATAAAAAAAAGAAAAGCTGTGAAAATAAATTATTTCCAAGGCAGCATCTTAAAAGACATCTATATTTTTCACAGTTTCTCTCTAAGAAAAGTCCTAACCTTACAAATAAGTTTACCTGGTTAGAACAACTTGAACCAATCACAGTATTTGCTCCTTCTCTGCCAGGCTATTTTTAGATGATTATCTGCTAAGCATTTCAAACTCCATAAGATGCTTATGTAAGGCTCTGCCAATCAACCTTGAATTGGCTTTTAAACAATACTTTCAGGCTGAAGTTCTTTGTTATAAATGGCCATTAAATGGTAGCTATTGGCAATTCATCTTACAAATAATGAAAATTCCATATGAAAGCATAAACAAGTGAAGCATGCTGTTGGGCAAAGTGAAAACCCAACTAATTTAA